GACTCTCCCCGCTCCCCAACCACCCCCCCCAAAATTCCTTCTTTGGGCCCCAGTGGGGGTTGAGGGAGCAAATCCCAGGGGTAGGAGACCTCACATCTCAGTGCCTCTCCCTGGGCCATTAAGGACCTTGAGCGCCCCAGGCAATTTCCCACTGTCTTGGGGGCAGCCCCCAACTTCCACTGGCTCTCCAGGCTGCACATAAAGGGTGAAGCGACCATCAGGTGCGTAAAATCAACAGCACCTCCTGGGCAGCAGAATGACCCTGCGGTAGATTATCTTTGCACTGGGGCAGGGCAGCAAGTATCTGAGGGGCTCAATCTAGACCCTCAGCTCCAGCTTCCCCAATCAGTCTCACCCTAGACCTGTCTCTTAGGCCACAGGTCTAAGTCCAACAGAGGAGGGAGGAAACCACTCCCGGGACCTTGCCTCCCCGCAGCGTGGCCTCTGTACCCTTTGTGGGTCAACAGATGGGGCCTGCTGGGTTCAGAAGCATCATAGGGAGGCTGGGAAAGAGTTCCAGAAACTTGGACCCAAGGCTGTGTGTGCACAAGCAGATTTCTCTACCAGTCAGAGTGGAGATAAGGAGATACCAGGGCTGGGAGGAGAGCGAGGCGTGTGTGCTCTGGGGCATGGGGGCCAACTGCAGGCAGAAGCAGAGGTGCCAGGAGAGACTTGATGGACCGATTTGGGGATGGGCTTTCTGCAGGCCTTGGTGTGCATCGTCAAGAACAGGCACAGCCATGGGCGTTTTCTGCAGGCTGGGCCCCTGTCAGTGCCTGCAGACCATGCGGAGGGTGATGTGCTCCCTAGAGCAGGGCCACCAAGCTCCCACGCCTGCAGAAACTCAGCAACCCCTGCTTCCTTTCTAGAAACTCCCCAACACTCCACATCTAGAGCCCCCCTTATTGTTCTTGGGCCAGGCTGGTCACAGGCACATGGAGGAGACTTCTCCAGAGGAGGAACCCAGCCTTCTTGATTCTCCAGTGAGCACTGCTGGGAGAGGGTGTGAAGACTGGAGCACATGCTCTGCAGGTTTGAGTTTGAGTCCCAGCATGGCATGGTCCACTGAACATCACCGAGAGCAAACCTGCACCCTGATCTGAGAGGGGGGCGGCCTCTGAGCACCTCCTGTGATGGCTCTGAAACAAAAAGCCAGACCAGACAGATAGAATAGCGGGTAGGGCAAACCTGGGTTCAGTCCCCAGCATCCCATATGGCCTCTTGAGCCAGAAGTGATCCCTGAGCACAGAGGAATCACACAGTCACCAAAAAAAAAGTCATACCAAAATAAAAAGAGATATAAACCCCAAAACTAATGAAAAGCCTCCATCGACAGATCGCAGGGAAGTAAGTGCTCCTTCTTGCAGAATCCCTGAACTCGAGGCCAGTCATGCACTGTCTTCTCCAGTCCCCGCTTGAGTCTAACCCGGAGTTCCCAAGCCCCAACCAGAGTCTCAGTTTTCTCATTAAGCATGCTCTGCTCTTGGCCTTCCGCCTCTTGGATGATGCCAGAATATTCCTTCCAGCTCCTCAGGCCCAACCCCTGCTGCTGAGCCCACATCTGCCCCATGAGAGAGCCAGTGGGCTTGCTCTTCGCTCACACAGATTGGATCTATCAGCCTCATACACAGGCCTGAGTGGCCTCAGAGCTGGGTTACTGCAGTGTCCCCGAAGCACTCTTTTCCTGCTTCCTCCTTAGGCTGCTGCCTTCCTTTCCATTTATTTAAATTGTTTTGCTTTATGGATTGATTTATTATTTGAGCATTGGGTCACGCCCAGGGTGCACCTGTGCTCAGGGATCACTCCTTTTAAAAAAAAATTTTTTTTTTTTTTTGTTTGGGTCATACCTGGAAATGCACAGGGATTATGCCTGGTTCTGCACTCAGGAATTAGTCCTGGAGGAGCTCAGGAGTTACGCCTGGTTCTGAGACTCAGCTCAGAGGCTGCTCCCAGCTCAGATCAGAGACCATATGGGTGCCAGGGACTGAACCAAGGCTAGATGCATGCAAAGCAAGTACTTTAACTCTTGTGCTATCTCTCTCTCTCTCTCTCTCTCTCTCTCTCTTGCTGCGCTCACTTGCTCTCTCTCTTCTTTCCCCCTCTCTCCTTCTCTTTCTCTCCTCTCTCTTTCTCTCTCCCCCTTTAAAAAAAAGTTTAGATCACATCATACTTAGCTAGATTTTTTTTTTGTACAAAGGTTTTTCAGCTTACTCTAAGCATATACAATGCCCACCAACCCCCCACCCTATCTGGCACACACATATCCCTACTTTCTGACTTTTTACTCCTTGCCCCCTGGCCAGGCTGCTTCTGCCACCCTGGTCTCTGGGTCTTCCCTGAACACTCAGGCTAGGGCCAACTTCAGGGCCTTGGTTCTTGCTGTCTCCTCTGCCTGAAATGCTCTTCCTTCTTTCCCCTGTGTTTCTGCTGTCCTCTGTGATAGCTGAGAAACATGTTCACAGATTCTTGCATGCTCATCCCATGCAGGGGTAAGACGCGGAGTCCAGATCTCCTGTCCTTGGCTTCATGACTCAAGTCTATGGAATAGGATCAAGTTGAAGTGAAGGCTAGGGCCTTCAGGAACACCATCGGGAAAGGTCCCATAGCTGGTTTGCTCCCTCTAGGGAGAGTCAGCGACCCCAGGGCAGGAGGACCCCTGAGGATCAGCGATGTGAACCTTCAGCTGCACTCAGACCTGCAGATGAAGATGCCCCCAACAGCGCCCCTGAATCAGAGGCTTTGCCTTGCCTGAGCTGCTCCCAAATCTCTGATACCAAGAAACAGAGAAACACAACTGTTGTTGGAAGCTTCTATGTTTGGGAGGAATTTGAGCTGCCTGCCTTAGGCGTCTCACCACTCTGTTGTGCTGTCCCTCTCTGGCCTGCCGTCCAAGAGGGCCCATGCGGACGGGCATCTCCATTGTATTCTCTCTGAGACTTCCTTTTTCCACGGCTCCTCCTGCCTCCTGCTCCGGAGATGGCACCATCTTCCTCCATGCTCTTTCTCATCTCTCCCCACTGAAATGGAAGTTCCATGAGGTGAAGGCAAGCGTGCATTATCCACAGGACATGGCTGGTCCCCACTCAATGTCTCCTGGTCCATCAATGGACACCCTCAGCTCTGTCTGTACATCCCAGATTCAAGGCTCACCCACTTGGTGTCCTGCTTTGATGCTATTTTGGGGGAGGGCTACAGAAGAGTGGTTTGGGCATATTTAGCAGCGATCAGGAGTCACTCCTGGTGGTACCCATGGAACCATACGTACCTGCCGCATGCAAGTAAGTCAGATGTCTTAATCTCTGACTTCTGACACTATTTTCCTAAGGGCACAGCCTTGACTTATCTTTTGTCAGGATCATAAGCGGACAAGTGGGTTAGATGGCTGTCCTTCAGAAAAGATCTGCAGCAACAAAGAGAAGCACCCGGAAGGCTGGTAAGTCTGTCTTTCCTGGAGAGATAACTGGTATCCAAGGGGTTGAATTTCGCCCAATGAGCTCCAGAAAACACAGTCCAGGCAGCAGATATCCCAAGTGGAGGCTAATCTGATTGTCCTTGGTGGCAGAACATTCAAGTCCGTCATGTGTGGCCAGCCTGCAGTCATGTGGTACCACAGGGACAGCTGTATCAACAGGTCTCTTGCAGGCCAACTCACAACACGGTCAGAGATTGAGTTTCAACCAAGGGAGAAATAGAAGAGGAGGAGGAGGTGGAAGAGGTGAGACGGAGACGCTCCTCTCCCCTCCTTACCACCTCCAGGGGATGAGCTGGGGGCAGGCCTGGGTGGGTAGGGTGAGCCGGGCAGGCTGGAGTTCTTAGAAAGTCTAGGCAGGCTGCTCTTGTGCAATGGTCGCTACTGGTTATCAGCTAGGTGTCCTGGGTGGACCTTTCCAAGGTGGTAAATTTGACCCTGGCCAAGACAGAGCCACCCTGGACGGGCGTTTCTACAGCGTTCTGTCACACAGCAGCTGTACTGTTCCCAAGAGCAAATGTCATAGACCGGAAAAGCTGCTTCCTGAGCTGCTGGTGCTGTGGCTGCCCTGGTGACAGGTGTCCCCCAAGAGGAGGGAGATACAGCCAAGACCTCTGGTTTCACATTCACCAGCAGTGGGGTTACATTGCGTCCTTGGGCCTGTTTTCTCAACTGGAAAATGGCTGGTTCCCGTGGGCTCGGCCCCTTCTAGCTCCAACCATCTCTGCGCTGCGAGAGCCACACAGTCCTCAGTGGCAGGCCAAGCGCAGACTCAGAACCTGGCTGGGAGCGGGGGCGTCCAGCTGCTGCTGTTATTTATCGGTGTTATGGGCACTGGTGTCTTAGGTAGGGGCAGAGGTTCGCAGAGGCCAGGGGCTATGGAAAGGCCCACAATGGGAAAGGGGGGCCAGGTTGGAGAAGGCAAGGGCTGGAGGCCCCCTGGGCATCACCAGCCCCAGCACCACCATGGCGAGGCTGGCTCTCTAAGGAGCATTCTGCGGAGCTGTTCGGCCACCCTAGCGGCTCCTAATCCTGGCTTGAGAGAGACTCCCGCACCTCTGTCCTCTCCAGAGGAAGAAGGTCATATTTGGAGCCTGCATTAAGCACGTCTACCACCCTACAACACTCCTTCCCCCACAGTGAGCCCCCACCTGCCTTGCCCCCTCTCCAACTCCTCGCTTAAGATCCGCAGTGCACGCAGGTGAGAGCACCGGGGCAACCACCTGCTCAACCAGGTATGTGAAGTTATGTGAAGTGTTCGCACTTTCAAAAGGTTAATACCATTAACTCCTGCCTGGGTGTCAGGCCGGTGGAGGGGGAGCTGGGGAGAAGGGCGCCGGTTGGGGAAACCCCTGGGGCCCAGGGCGCTTCCGCGCTCGCTCGGGCTGAGCCCTTGACTCACCTTCCCCTGCGGCGCCCTGACCTCTGGGGTGGAAACTGGCAGTGTCGGGTCCGTGTCACGTGCCCCGCAGGGGCAGGTTACAAATAGCACGGGGATTAGTAAACCCATCCCGAAACTCGCGTTCAAGGGCAGGGAAAGTTACCAGTTGAATTCTGGCAGAGCTCATTGGAGATCGAGACCCGGGGAGGGGATTCGGCTGTCCCGGAGAGCAGCCGGGCGCGCTGGGTGTGCGCGCGGGATGGCCCGCGGCTGGCCGCAGCTCCCCGGAGCTCTGACCTCCAGCATTGCGCGGGTGGGGTTCGGACCACCCCATCTCCCAGCCCAGAGGAGCGCGTTTCCGTGACCTGGTGTCTTCACGCCGGGAAGCTCTCAACGGGACGTCTGCGCCTGTGACCGCAGTCAAGGTCCCCCGGAGCAGGCAGGAGAGACCCCGGGAAGGACCTGGCCGGTTGGCGCTGTAGCCAAGGGCGCGGCGGCGGGAACGCGGGGACCCGATTCCTCCCGGGCCGCGGCCGCGACGGAATAGTAGGGACGTGCCAGGCGCTGCTCTTTCTCACGCCCGTGCCCCCGAATTCTGAGGCTTAAACCCTCCCCGACCACCACCCCAAGGGAAGTAACTCCTTCCTCGAAACCAGGATCGCGGTGGGAGCAGCGCGCAATTCGGAGAAAAGTCAAGTGGCCGCGCTCTCCGCGCCCCCACCCCTGCAGCCCCCCGAGGGTGCCCATTCATCCCTGGGGCGCATGGGCCGGTGCGGCAGCGGCCGAAGCCGCCGCCCAGCCCCGCGCCCTGCGGCGGCCCCTCTGCCCACTCCCGCGCCGGGCGCGCCCGGGGCCTCGGAAGGACAGCACCCGGCGGCGGCCAGCTCCCACCAGTCTGCCCGGCCCGCCGCGCCCCGCCGGGACCGCCTCCTTCGGTAAATACGGCCGTGGCCCGCCCTCCGCGCGCCGACGCGCAGGTGGAGTGTGCGGTGCGGGCCGAGGCAGCGCGCACAGGCGGACGCCGCGCCCAGCCGGGGGCCCAGGCCAGCGCCGTCCGGTCGCCCCGGGGACGCCCCGCCGTCCGCCCGCCGCGCGCACGTTGGACTGGGGTCTCAGGTAAGGGGCTTCAGGGTCTGAGTTGCTCGCTGAGGACGCGCCCCGGGTTGACTCCAGCTTGGAGCGGCTCCAGCGCCAGGGACCTCGCGCTCAGTCTGCGCGCCTGGGAGCTGCGCGCGGAGCCTCGCCTATCTGGTTGCGCTCTGGATTCTTAAAACCCACGGACTTTGTGAAGAACCTTGCCTCTCTTTGCCTATATTCCCACACGCATCAGAGCGCGGGCCGTGGTGAGATGCTTTTGAGTCGGAAACCGTGCTTTGGGGGAAAGCAGTGCTCTGGGGAGGCGAACTGGGTTTTGGCGAAATCAAGCGTTACGTTGGCCTTTGGCAAAGCTGTCAATTTCTGTTCTTGTGTGTGGTCTCTGTGCGTCGATTTGCAACCTCAGAGAAACACCTGCTACCCGGACACTCTTTGGGAATCTGAGAGGAACACGTATGCTAGGTGCTCAGTCTACTATTCCGGGGAAAAGCAAAGTTCAAATCCAGTTCTCGATCTTTTTTTTTTTTTTAACTGGGATTTGGGGGACTTCCCTTAAGACAGTAGAAGCTTTTTGAGTCACTTCAAAGTTGAAGCTGTCAATTCCTGATAGGACCCTTATCTCTGAAATCAGCCAAAGGAATTATGTAACACAGGTTTCTTTCCCCCAGTGAGTGCAATATTTTGTCTCAGTCCAATTGCATCTTCATAAATGTCGTTTGTCCAAGTGTCAACTGGAAACTATTTCCCTTTTCTATTTCCTTCTCTCCCCATTCTGATTCTATCACACTTTTTTCCTGGAAAAGTACTTCCTAGTAGAAGAGTAGCTGTTCATTTCCTTTTTGTGCTCCACTGGCCCTCCTGGAGGTGATTTGGGTTTGTGAGGATGGCCTTGACCGTAGACCTTGTGCAGCCTCAGCTCTGGACCCTTTCTGTGACCACCTATGTAATTCACACAATAGTTTAAGAGTTTCCTTTCTTGTTAGTGGAAATGGTCTTTGTATGCGGGTGGTCTTTTCCAGCCACCTAACTTGAAAGGTTCTGTTACAAAATCCCATTCATTATGACAAGGTATTTTATTGTATTTTGCTGAGATTGGAGTGGGGGAGCTGAGCATACAGTGGGGTGGGCAGGGTATTGCTTCTTGTGGGACTTGGGGGGAGGGGTCCATGAGATGATGCGATTGCAAGACAAGTACCTTAGTCCCTGTACTATCTCCAAACTGGTTGACTCTTTAAGCACTGCTTGTGGGCACATTGATAGGTGATGCCTTGGAAGGATGGGCCTTGCCATAGAAGGGGCTGGAAAGGCCCTTTCCTGCTCGTTTCATTTATGATTTTTTTTTCAAATTTAATTCTGTTACAACTGATTATATTAGCTGCTAATTATATTTCTGGTGGGGCCACTTCCCACTGTGGAATAGCTGGTGGATAAGTGCTGGGCTTCATGGTACTCAGGGGGCCTCTAGGACCACCCCACTGGTACTGGGGGCACAATGCAGTGCTGAGATCTACACTCTAGGCCTTGCACATACTAGAATTGTGCTCCGTCACTGGAGCTGCTTTGGGCTGAATTTTATGTGTGTGTGTGGGACCACACCAGGCAGTGCTTAAGGTTTACTCCTGTCTCTGTTGTGCTCAGGATTCACCCTAGAGGTGCTCAGGGACAAAATGAGATGCTGGAAGGGCTAGAGCAATAGCACAGCATGTAGGGCGTTTGCCTTGCACATGGCTGACCTAGGTTCAATTCCCAGCATCCCATATGGTCCCCTGAGCACTGCCAGGAGTAATTCCTGAGTGCATGAACCAGGAGTATCTCCTGTGCATCGCCAGGTGTGACCCAAAAAGAAAAAAACAAAGTGAAAAATAAATGAGATGCTGGTGATTGAATTGGGTTCTGCTGCATGCAAGGCAAGCACCTTAATCCATATTCAACTGTCTGGCCCTAAGGGCTGCTTATTTTTAACTGTGTTCCATCCTCTTGGTAGTGTGGGGGCACTGCAGGGGAGGGTGAGCTGGAGGCCCCCTTTTCACTGTGGGCTCTAGGTTCGATCTACCCTGCCTCTTAAGACGCGCTATTTTCCCAGGACTAATCAATATGGCTCCCAGATTTCAGACCAGGGCAGTCCAGAGTGTGTTTCTTTGAGCACATTTTGAGTGAATTACTGAAAATTTACCAAACCCACAAGTGGTCCTGACTTCCTATCCATTCAGTCCAAACAGCTGAACTTGGGCCGTCGACATGGCCTTGGAATAAAGCACGAAATGGAAAGTTGCCGCACTGTAAAACAGGAAGTGGAAAATTAGTTCCGGAACAGAAATGGACAGATTTGGAAATGCTCAGAGCAGCTGTGATGAAATGTGGGCAGTCTGTAAATCAGAATTGACCCCCTGGCTTCTTTCCTTCTTTGCCATTGTGTTTTTTAGTTTTGGCCTGGAGAAGTGAGTTCATTAACCTCCTAACAGGAAAAGCCAGATCCAGTCACTCTTCTAGTCTAGTGTGTGGTTGTTTTCCAAAATGATTTGCTTAAATGCCTGGCCATCATGTTTCTTCTAGAATATCTTCATTTGCTCCCACATTCGGGAGTTTCTGAATGTCCATTCTCCTGAGTTATAAGCTGCTTTATTGTTTCAGGGCAGCCATTGTCTGAAGTTCCAGCACCACTGATTCTGTCCTCGTGTGATTTCTGAAGCAGTCAGCGAAAAGAACAGGGCAGGGCAGGAACACCTGTGCCCACTTTCATCTCTTGGGTTCTGTTTGCAGAGCTCTTGAAACCACTGGAGGGAAGGAAGCTGGGCCGGGCCAGGCAGGCCGCCTCTGGTCATGTCTCCAGCGGCTGCTGCTGTGGCCACGGCCGAGCCGGACGAAGTCCAGCGAGACCGACGCATCAGCAGGCTCATTTTCTTCTTCTTCATCTTCGGTGCCATCCTGTTGTGTGTAGGGGTCCTGCTATCCATCTTCGGGTTCCAGGCCTGCCAGTATGAGAAACTCCCAGATTGCAGCATGGTGCTGAAGGTGGCCGGGCCGGCATGTGCTGTGGTGGGGCTGGGGGCTGTGATCCTGGCCCGCTCCCGGGCCCGGCTTCAGCTCCAGGAGAGGAGGCAGCGCGGCCTCCAGCTGGACCCTGACCGAGCCTTCCTCTGCGGGGAGAGCCGCCAGTTCGCCCAGTGCCTCATCTTTGGATTTCTGTTCTTGACTAGCGGCATGCTCATCAGCATCCTGGGCATCTGGGTGCCCGGATGTGGCTCAGCCTGGGCACAGGAATCCATGAATGAGACAGACACGGCCGAAGCAGAACCCCAGATCTGTGGCTTACTGTCCCTGCAGATCATGGGGCCTTTGGTTGTGCTCATTGGATTGTGTTTCTTCGTGGTGGCCCATATTAAGAAGAAAAACAACTTGAATGTGGATCATGAGACCTCGGAAAGTGAAGAGAGGCAGACCCAGAGCACAGAGCCCGTGCAGGTCACTGTGGGTAGGTGGTGCTTTCCATTCCACTATGCACAAAGAGGGCAGTGGCTGTGCTCATAGCTCGGCTGGGCTGCCCTGGGCTCTGACCAACATGCTCCTCCCACTCTCCACTTCTCTCTCTCTCTCTCTCTCTCTCTCTCTCTTTCTCTGTCTCTCTCATACACACACACACACACACACACACACACACAGTGCTACTGTGACTCTCAGTTCCATAAAGATCCTTATACATACCATTACCCACCCACCCCCACAGCAGCCAACATATTATGATAGTCAGCAATGACCTTGACAGAGGTGGCAGAGCAAATGAAGAGGAAAGTGAGAAGCACTGTGTAGAACCCCTTGGAATCTCTGTAATCTCCTGGACCTGCCAGGGTACCCAGGCTCTGTTATTCTACGCGTTTTGGCACTTTGTGTATTTGCCGGGGTTCTCACCCTTGGCGGGCACTACTGGCTGTTCACTTCCATCTTGTAACCTCTCCTGGCCTCAGTTTGCACAGTGTAGAATGAGCTTCGGGTTTCTCGGGCTCCTTCCAGAGGCCACATGCTGGAATTTCAAGTTGAGTGCATCTCACTGCAAATTTTAGGCCATTTGGGGGGGGGGGGGGGCAAAATAGTGGGGGGAAGCCATTATGTGAAGCTTAAAAGAACTGTGCCAGTATTACTTTAAAAGTTTGCAAGGATGGAGCCAGGGAGATAGTAGAATGGATACGGTCCCTTCTCTTGCAGATGGCTGACCAAGGTTTGATCCCTAGCACCCTATATTGTCCCCATTGCCTGGCCAGGAGTGTTTCCTAAGCTCAGAGCCAGGAGTTAGCTAGCCCTGAGCACTACTAGATGTGGCCCGAAACCAAAAAACCAAAAACCAAAAAAGAAAAATAGTGAGGCTTATGAAATGGGAGTGATTATGTGGTGAAATAAGGTATCCAAATCCCACTGGTCTTCTTTTGACTCAGAGTGGGTCTTATGCATGGTTTTGCATCTTGTTCTTCATTTTCTGCCTCTTAATCCTGGGCTTCAGCCTCGATGCAAGGTTCGGAAGCAGTGGAGTAGACAAAAATGAAACATGGCAACACTGGTCTCTTCTAAGTGGAGTGACTAGAAATTCCTTTTAGTCCCCTGGTGTCTGCAGCAGAGCTCGATTATGTTTTCTCAGAGGCAAGGTGCTCAGAACCACACAACCAAGGAGAAACTTTACTGCTCATTTCAGATCCTGGTTTTATTTCCAGCTTTTGAAAGGTTAAAGCCCTAGAGCCAGTCTTGCCAAGAGAATTTCATCCATTTTTCCATCCACCACAGGACACACAGTCCTAGTATCTTATTAGAGATGAAAGTGAGTCCCCAGGATATCAAATGACATGCCCAGGGCCACCATTCGCAAGTGTTAGAGCTAGGATATGAACTCGGAGGTGGCTGCACACAGTACTGCTCACAGAGCACTGGGCCCTGAGCACTAGCCTGATTGGGTCAGCAGGTCCCATTCCTCCCAGATCTGAGCAGCTGTTACCTAGTGAAAGCTTTACTCTCCCTTTCGTGTATTTTCAGGCCTTTGCCGAAGAACAGTGGGCTTCGAGTGCTTCTGGGACACCAGTTTTGTTGGGAGTGTTTCAAAGTGTGCTGCTTGTTAGGGTTTGGGCGTCTGGCCTTCTACCTGGTTGGGGGCTGAAATCAGGTCGAGGCAGGAGCAGAGCCACCCCTGGCAGTCCTGACCTCAAGGAGCTGCTGCACAGTTTAAAATCCTTAATACCTAGGGGCCAGAGTGATAGTCCAGCAGGTAGGGCACCTACCTTGCATGTGTCTGGCCTGACTTAATCCCCAGCACCCCATCAGGCTCAGATCCTCTGAGCCCCACCAGGAGTGATCCCTGACTCCAGAGCCAGGAGTAAGCCCTACACTGGCCGTTTGGCTCCAAAACAAAACAAAACAAAACAAAACAAAACAAATGTTCTTTCCACTTAACCCTTTAAATGTCATGGGACCCGTGGAAAATCTGACTCCCTGATTCTTTGGTTTTCTGGGGCAGCATTTAAATGGATAAATTGTTTTGTCTTGTTTTTAAGCACAATTGGTAAGACATGATGGTGAGTTGTGCCTTACAAATTTTAAAATTGGGGTGATAAGAAGGTCTGGGGTAGAACTCAGCTGAAGGATAGATCCTGCCCTGAGCCCACCCCCACAGAGCAGAGAAACCAAGAAGCCTGACACCCTCCATGCTGGCTCTGAAGCCCCTGCCCTTGCCCTGGGAGGTGTCTGTCTGTCCCCAGTACTAAGCCTTGTGGGACCAGGTGGAAGAGAAAGTCGAACAGGTTTGTTACCCAGTGTAGACATGGCAGGGGAACAAGCTCAGGAGACAGCAGTGACCATGGATGCTGCCTTGTTTGTTTAATAGGTGACTGACTGGCTGCTCTGGTGACCAACGCCAAGATCTTTTGTTCTAAGGAATAATTAAAGTGAGCTCTCACCCTTACTTCCTCTGGCCTACCTCCACCCTCAAACAAATTAAACAGGGCCCAGCCAAGTTTGTGCTTTATCGAGGTTAAGGGAGTCCTGCATAGCAGATACCGTAGTGGCTGTCTCCTGGCACATTTTCTGAAGATGTCCTGATGGGGTTACCAGAGACGGTGTCAATCAGTGACTTGCAAATCAGTGTCCCTTGCTGGTGGGCTGTGAGGGAGCTTTCCAGTGGAGGTGTAGGGGTGGAGTGCCTGCTAGCAAGGTGAATGGGGTTGAGGGAGGCAGGCTCACGGCCTGTACAAAGCGCCTGCGTTGGCCGAGGCCAGCTCGCACAATCCCTGCCAACTGGAGCCCATGAAGGCTTGAGAGTCCTGTCCCTACTTGGGCAAGTGTCAGACCTGGCACCTGAAGTAGCCCACCTGAAGTAGCCCTCCCTGCAGGAAAGCCAGGCACGCGGCCCTTTGCTCTTCCTCCACCACTCTGGGGGTTACCAGCTGACCCAGGCCTCCCTTGGCAGTGTCTGGAATGCTCTGGGCAAAAAAAGCTGAGCATAACTTTGAGCTCATGTCTAGTCCCTCATGTCTCCTTCCCCGAGGACCAGGTGGTGTTCAGGAGTGGACAGTCATGACAGGAAGCAGACCCACCATGCTATTGGAGTTTGGCCTTTTTCTAATGACGCTCGTGTGAAAGGTAGAAGAGAGTCACCAGGAGCATAAGCCGCAGTGACGCAGAACAAGAACGGGCTGTCTTTGTGCCTTCTTCTCATCTGTCCACTGCTGGAACTGTGTTTAAGGAACATGCTTCGCCAACATGCTACTCTCAAACCCTCACATAGGAAAGGCTGAGCCACCTCCCCAAGCCTCCAATGGCAAAGTTGCTTTTTTAAATTCAGTTTTTGGTTTGGGGCCACAACTGGGAGTCATCAGGACCTACTCCTGGTTCTGTGCTTGGGGCTTGCCTGCTGCTGTGTTCAGTGGACCATGCAGTGCCGGGGATGGACCCCAGGCCTCCTGCATGAAACAGTGTCCTTCAGCCATTTGAGCTCTCTCCCCAGCCCCATTATGAGCTTGGGATGAATTCAAATTTTTAAGTTGAAAATGAGTAGAGCGTTGTTGGCAGGAGACATCCCTGAGAAGGTCAGGCACTGAAGCAGATGCTTTACAGAAATGCTTTAGCTCAGACTTGCTGTGACATAGAGGTTCAGTGAAAACATGGTGGTCAGGGGCTGGAGTGATAGTACAGAGGGGAAGGTGTTTGCCTTGCATGCAGCCAACCCGGGTTTGACCTGCGGCATCCCATATGGTCCCCCAAGCAACACCAGGAGTAATTCCCGAGAGTAGAGCCAGGAATAACCCCTGAACATTATTGGGGGTGACACAAAAAGCCAAAAATAATAAGAATAAGAGAACGTGGTAATCGAATATGTGCCATTTAGCTTTAAAAAAAAAATCATGCAGGGGCCACACCCAATAGCACTAGGGGTCAGTTTGGGTCATTCATGGGATGTTCATGCCTGGCAGTGCTCAGAGACCCCCCAGGAGTGCTCGGGGGTCAAGCAGTGCCAAGCAGTGCCAGGGGTCTAAGTCAGAACCTCACCCATGCCAAGCATGTGCTCTGCCATTTGAGACATTTTCTTGGTCCCACAGAACTGTTCTTAAGTGAACTGTGACATCCTCCGATACAATCATAATTTTGTGCAGTCCTTTCCACTATCCATTCCCAGGCCTTTTCATCATCCCAAACTCAAACTCTGCAGCATCTATCAAACAATAATTCTGGTCCCTCTTGCCTCAGGTCCCTAGAAACCTTTGCCTCTCTGTCTCTCCAAGATTTACAGGCCTTTACATGGCTGGGCTGAATAGGGAATTAATTTACTGTCCTCTTGCTAACTGACTGGTGTTTGTCACTCACCTGTCTCCATGCAATGTCCTGTTTCTGTAGGTGATGCTGTGATAATATTCCCCCCACCCCCACCGCCTTACTTTCCCGAGTCTTCAACTTCGGCCAGAGCTCCAAGTCCCGGGGCTAACAGCTTGCTTCCGAGTGAAAACCCACCTTCCTACTACAGTATTTTTAACTATGGGTAAGACTCTTGGTTTGTATGGTAGGAGCACACATGTCTAAACTTGCACATCCAGGCCTGCATCCAGGCCACCTTCGCTCCAAGTAGAGCAGGAGCCAGTGTCAGTCTCGGTATCTCCTTTGCTGACAGTATGTCAGAAATACTGCCGTCCCCCTCACAGTGCCTTCCAGGAAACATTGGGCAATGACTAAGTTCAAGATGATGCAAGTGTTGACATGGAGGTTTATACAAAGCCTTCTGGGGCATCTTTGTGGGTTTATAGAAGGAGTAAGCCTCAAAATGGTGGAGTATTTTGTTTGCTTTTGGCAGAGGGCAGTGGGATGAGGTGTTTAACCACACCTGGCAGTGCTCAAGTGTTCTTCTTGGTTCTTGCCTAGGGGTCCTGTTGGTGCTAATGGGACCATAGGCACTGCCAGGTAGCAAACCAGGGTAGGCCCCATGGAAGGCAAGTGCCTTAACCCCTATACTCTCTCTCCAGGCCTGAAATAGAAATTGTAAGGCACATATTTCTCGTGACCTGAACCTGGCTAGAAGTTAAATATGCCAAGATATTATAGCAGCTGGAGCTATAGTACAGTGGGTAGGGCATTTGTCTTGCATGCAGCCAACCCAGATTCAATTTCTGATACCTTGTGGTTACCCAAGAGTGATCCCTGAGTGCCAAGCCAGGACCAAGCCCTGAGTGTAGCTGGGTGTGGCTGCAAAGCCCCTCTTCCCAGTTAAAAAGAAATTATATATATATATATATATATATATATATATATGTATACATATAGAGATGCCAAAGTGAATGCAATTAAAGTCATTAATTATCATTTATAGTGATTTATTTTTACAAGGAATTTTTTCTGTCTATCTTTCATTTTGTGTAGTGTGTTTGTGGGCTAGGAAAGGATTGGACCACACCTGACTCTGTTAGGCAGTTGCTCCGGGTGGAGCCCAGGGTTGATGCGGGGTTGGGAGGATGCAAGACTCTTGCCTTTGCTCCTATACTCTCTGACCCATATCCTCAGGATGTTTAACAGTCTTGGGCCAGACTTCATAATAGAGCAGGGCTCAGAGTACCCGCACTCCAACCCTTGCTCTCCTGGGCTTTGCAACTTGGCTTGAGGACAGCTGGGTACCCAAGGACACATTCAGCAGGTGTGAAAGGGGTGACTGTTCTAATGGAGACTGCTCAGATCAGCCAGTTCCCCGAACTCATCAGCCTGGGCTTTGTCTCTCACTGTGAACTTGTTCCCAGGCCTGAAGAAGAGGCCAGGAAATATAAGACCCACCACACCTTCTTCCCTACCCTTCCCATGTATCTCCAACAGGAAGTAGACCTGGGGTCCCACTGAACATCAACATCTACAGGCTTTTCCTGAAGGCAGAGGGGTGCAGGCGACGGCTGGGGACTCAGCGCGGTGGCCGGTGGCCAACTCTCAGCCGGAGGTCACAGGGCCCTAAAACTGTGCTGGTTAGAAAGCTGAGTGTGGGAGGGACTCTGGGAGGGAGAGGCGGGAGTGTGATGTCAGGGTGAGTAACAGGTACAGTGGAATGTCCCTGCCGCAGGGGGGAGGCTCACGGGGGGCCCTGAGAAGCTGCTGCTGCTTCAGGCGCAGGGAGAGCGAGATGTGGGTCTCACTGGGTCTGGGGAGAGACAAGAGGTTCTGGAGCTAGAACCAAGGGGGCAGAGAGAAAGGCATGTTAGGAAAGAGTTCTGGGAAGCGCCAGGGAGGAGCAGGGTGAGCAAAGGATCTGGGACTTCCCCAGGGGCAGTGAAGGTGGAGGAAGTGAATAAAGCATTGCTGGGAAATCTCACCAGGCAAAGTGCGAGGGATGAGCTGGGTCAGTGGAAACAAACTTTCGAGGTGTTGAAGTAGTTGGAAGTTTCTCCATAGTAGAGCATCTACCATGCATGTGTGGTGCCCTGGGTTCTATCCCTGGCGCTATATATATATATATATATATATATATATATATATATGCCTCAGTGTAGGATGCTGGAGCTCTGTGGGGGGAGGGGGGAACAGACAAAGCCTGTTTTGACCACCAGGGGCGGGGGGGGGGGGGCATGCGCAGAGGGGTGTAGCAGGAATAGCACAGCGGCAGGGCGTTCGCCTTACACGCGGCCAACATGGCCGACCCGAGTTCGATTCCTCCGCCCCTCTCGGAGAGCCCGGCAAGCTACCGAGAGTATTCGATATGCCAGACACAGTAACAACAAAGTCTCCAATGGAGACGTTACTGGGCCCGCTCGAGCAAATCGACGATCAATGGGAGGGCCTTTACTTTTTTAATATTCTAACACCAATCCCACCACATTTACACCTTACCACCACCATATTTTGAATATTTCCATCCCGAACCCCAACCCTTGCCCCAAAGCAGAACTGATATAATATATTTTGTATTGTTCGCTATGAAAAAACACTGAAAATGCTACAAAAAAGTTTCCTTAGAGGAAAGAGTGTGAAGATTGTTGTATTTCACCCAGGGGTCATTAAGCCCTTCTATAAAGATCACTAACATGTTGCTAAAGGTTGAGCCTTGTGTGTGTGTGTGTGTGTGTGTGTGTGTGTGTGTGTGTGTGTCTGTATACACACATATATATTTGTAAAAAAAATATTTCACTCTAAGATTAGTTCCCTCCTATCTCCTACTTTGACCCCTATCAAATGTGGTGCGATACTCTGTGGTGGGTATGAAGTGTCGCGCGACCGCTTGCTTTGCCTACCTGTGTTAGTTGTCTCAGAAGACAAAACGGCAGTATGTGTGGTGCATGTGTGTGTGTGTGTGTGCATGTGCATGTGTGCGTGCGTGTGTGTAGTGTGTGTATGCGTATATTTGCATGTGTTTGTGTGTGTGCTCTGGATAGGATCTGTGCGTTGAGACTTCCTGTCTTCACTAAGAAGGGAAATAGGCTGGAGAGATACTGCAGGGGTTAAGGCACTTGACTTGCCCACGGTTGACCCCGCTTCTACCCCAGTGCCATATATGGTCCAGGATTGAACCCTGAGCACTGCTAAGTGTGACCTTCCCAAGCCAAAACAATAAGGGAAGAATGACAGGAATAAGATTATCTTAAGGTTACAGTCAGCTCTGAGAAAAGGAAGGTGTAAGGAACAGAACCATAACTGATCTTACACCCATCAAGTGCTCCGAAATGAGTTTAATTTGACCTCTGAAGAGCTGATGGTTCTTTCTCTTTCCCCCGACTCACCTGTTTCTCCTTGTCACCAGGACGCCAGTGTCCAGGGGCCAGGGTGCGTTCTCTGAGCGAGAGCGAGATCCCATCTATACTATTTCCGGGACGACTTTGTTTCCTGAGACCTCGCACACGTCACACCTTGCCTCAGAACTGCCTCCCCGATATGAGGAGAAAGAAACTCCGGCCACCTCGTCTTCGTCTCCAGCTTCCCGCTCTTCCCCTCCGTGACTGAGCGACTCCACAATTTTATATGTATCTGATCACTATTTTATTTAACTTGTCTTTTTTAATAAAAAATAGAGAACAGGCTGGGCTGTGTGTTGAATTCCCTGGTGCATCACCAACATCTGTCACAAGCTCCCGAGAGGCTGTTGGTACATCTGGACAGACAGAAGCAGAGCAAGCCCTGAGGGTCTTGGAGTGTCTTTCCAAGGGGCTGGGATCCCTGCTGTGGGTGGGGAGAGAAACAGGCTGAGAGAAGCCAATAAACTTAAGCCAAGGTCACATCCCTTCTAAAGGGCGAGGCTGGGTTTGGGACCCATCCTGTCATTTCCGGGAGCTCAGGTCCTCAGCCCTGTCAAAGGGCAGCCTGTGGTTAATCTTTACCTCAGGCCCCTTCTGCATTCAATGTTCATTGCTGCTAGGCAGAGAAATGAGTTCTTCCTCTTTTTCTTCTCTTTCCTCCCTTCTCTTCCTTGTGTCCTTTTCTTTCTATGCCGCTTTGCTTTTTTTTTTTTTTTTTTTGGTTTTGGGCCACACACACACACCAGTGCTAATTCTGGTTCTGTGCCCAGGGATCATTTCTAGTGGGACTAGGACTGAATGTGGTACTGGGGAGTGAATCCAAGTTGTCTGCATGCAAGCCTTAAGCCTGTTGCGTGAAACTTTGTTCAGTCGGAGGCTCTGAGACACGGAACGCGAAAGAAATATATGTCATGGAGGGCCCAGGTTCTCTCAGACCTGTGACAAAGGTAGAGAACCCCAAAATCTTTTATTGATGATGGTACCTCTAAAGGGTACAATGCAGTGACGTCATCAAAAGGAATTACAGAAAGAACTTTGGGGCAGCAAAACATACATTGTTTCCTTGGGTCTGCAGTCCAGTAATTTTGGCCTCAGGAAAGAAGACACAAAACCAAAACTGAAACCTTTCTTGGGCTACTTGCACTTGGATTTGCAAACCAAAGACTAGTCAGCTAGAGCCTGGAGTCTATATCCCAAAGACAAGTATCTGAATTTGCATCCCAAAGACTAGTCTGGCTAGAGCCTGGAATCTACATCCCAAAGATCAGGTCTGGCTAGCACCTGAGATCTGCATGTCACAGACCAGCCAGGTTTCTGTGAGAAAAGGAAAACTGCCCCTTACAATATACTGAAATTACTTGCTGAAGGCACAGTTTGAAGGGGAAAAATGTTCAGCCTCATCCAAACTAGTCAGGACACATGAGAAATCTTGCCCCATTTTCATGGGTCCCTATGTTCCTGCCCATTGTGCGGTGCAGCCTACATGGGCTCACCCTGACAGCTCAGTCCAGCCCCAACATAAGCCCATTACTCTCTGGCTCCTCCTCTTCCTTATTTCCTCCTTTTTTTTTTTTTCATTTCAAAAGTAGGTAGGCTGGGAAGTCTCTGCTACCACACTGCTATTCCAAAGTTTCTGCAGAGTGACACTTTCAGGGGATGTTTCAGTAATTAAATCCCACCGCCCCCATTCCTCCCTCTTCCACCATCTCCAGGGTGATTAATATTGAAATGGTGCCCAGTTGCTGCCCACCAACTTTTTGTTGAGGGCTTTATTGAGTGGTATCTTTGGTATGCTCAGATCCTATAATGAATGCTTATTTGAATTTGGATTGGAACTTTGAGGAATAATAGCTAAATCTTAGCCATTCTGCCTGAGAGAAACTGACTTTTACAATACAAAATCCGTGGTAACAGCATCTTGGACAGTAAAAGTTGATGGAACCAAAATGTGGATTTTAATGTCTCTTACACAACCTCAAAGCAGGACTTAACGTGTGTTAATGCTTCAGGAGTTTAATTGAAGTAGTGATTGATTTCATGAGAATTAGCACCAATTAACCAAGGGGAGCAGTCTACACCAGTGGTACTGACAATTATTGCATGAATTGCTCTTAAAATTCTGCAGCCCAACCCCCCCCCCCAGGTTAATTATTCACATTTTAAAATTAGAACAAAAGGTAGATTATTACCACTTCCTTCTAGAGTTTCATTTTTCTTTTTTAAAATTAAGTTGAAACTTCTAGGAAATGCTAGTTTTTTTTTTTTTTAATGTAGGAGTATGGACTATTTAGCTGACTGAAGAGGCATGAACTCCACATTACTTTTTTTAAATTTTAAATTTTATTTTCATAAAGTTGTTCACAATAATTGTTTTCATTCAACATTTCCACACCAGCCCCACCGTTACACTTTCCCACCACCACTATTTCGAATTTTCCCACCACCACCCAAGCCTGACCCATAGGCAGCTACTAATTTATTTTGTATTTCTTGTCATGAGTAGTATGAGATGTCATGCAGCAGTGAAAGTGGCCCAGTGCTCCTGAATTCTAAAGTTTTAAAAATATTTGGGGTCCAGAGGCATTTTCTGAGATTCATTTGTGAGTCTCTGAATCATGGCCATTAATGTGCTTAAATGCGCCTAGAGGCAGTTCTTGGGGGTGACTGCCAGGAAACAGGAAGGGTGGGGAGATGGGGGTGGTCACTCATTCTGGACTCCATGAAGCCTGAAGATTTCAGTCACAAGTCCTGCATACCTGAATTTTTCAGCGGATTTATTCTCATGCATGGGGGGTTCAGAACGAGCCTGTGAAGGTCGGCTATGAGCATGGCAGTGATTGTGTTCTGGAGGTTTGTGGCTTCATTTGGAGCAGATGGAAGGACACAACTGCCCCTCTCCGATGTGGCCCGGTGAAATCAGCCTGGCGCCGGGTAGGAGACGGCTCTGTGGCATGCTGCTCTCTTCCGAGATTCATTTGTGAGTCTCTGAATCATGGCCTCCTTTTGATCTCTTTTGAGATTTATTTATGGGTCTCAAAGCAAGGCCAATAAATGATCTTGTATAGCTAAACTGGAAGTGGTTTGTGGGTGTGCCTCCCACATACCTAACTTTTGGCTGTTTAATTTCTCAGGAAACTTGGTCCCAAGTTGTTGGGGTCTGGTCAGTGGCAGTTTTGGGGTATCAGGAAGCCTGAAGGCACAATCATGCCGCTTATGCACTTGCCCTGCAGGCACAGGTTGACCTGCTGGGAGGCACCATAGCCCCTGGTGTTGCTAGTTTAAGCTTTTCTGAGTTCTCATCAATCACTAGGAACCTTTTTAATTGTTTAAAGGTTGGGTTTGTAACTTGGTGCCTGGCACGCAAATAAAGTCAGGTAAGCAGAAATGCCTCTGTGTCAAATGGGCCCATGCGAGGGTCTCTGCGATCTGGCCTGTGCAGTCTGTGTGTAGTCAGCAGGCCGAGGCCATTGCTGCTCAGAGACTGTCCTCAGCCTGGATAAAATGTAGAAGTGAGTTCACACCGCTGGCTGCAAGGAGATACTGCATCACCAGAAGACACTCTCAGGAGAGTTGGAGCTTCTCAAACCCACCTAGAGACCACTCTGTTTTCTCTTGATCTATTGACATGATTTGAGCTTAAATTCCTGTAACATAATGTTAGGGCGCGGATCGTGATCTCCCTTTAACAACAAAGAGACTCCAGAGACTGCAAACAGCAAGCAATGTTTATTGTAAGACTGGCTAGCCAGGGTCAAGCCGCCAACACAGACACACAGGTCAGTTAGGTGAGGCAAGACCCCGAACTTCTTCAAAGGGGATCTTATATAGGCCTTCACTGGCCGTTACAGCAAAGCCCGCGCATTTCATAGCCAATAGATTTGTAACAACATATGCTTTCTTAACCAATCCAATTAAGGGTACATCACTTCTTAGCCTATAGTTTAAAGGTCAGCATTTTGCGTCGGTGCTTAGGAACTGACAGGTTTTTAAGGCAGTCCTGGGTCTTGCAACATGGGTCTTGTGAGAGACATCCAGTTATCTGGTCTGACCCCCACCCTTCGAGTACCTGTATCTGAATTCCTTGCTCAGGGGCAGAAAAAACAGTTATTTTGCAGTGCAGGCTCCTATAAAGCAATCTGAAAAAGCTTATCTAGACAGATAAGCATTTTTTTTTGTTGTTGTTCCTTGAAAAACAAGTGATTTTGCAATGCAGGTTCCTATTAAGCTAAGCTAAATTAATTCTGGTGGTAGTCCATTTTGGGCCTGTCCCTTACAATAAAATTAACCATCTTTCTTTTTTCTCCTTTTTCTGGGCTGTGGGGAGTACATTCGGCAATGGTCAGGGGTTATCCCTGGCTCTGCACTCAGCAATTTCTTCTGCTAGTGGTTCAGGGACCATATGGGATGCCAAGGATTGAACCTAGGTCCTCTGCAAGAAAGGCAAACACCCTACCCACTGAACTATCCCTCAAGGCTTATTGTTTTGTTCTTGTTATGGGATCACTTCCAGTGGTGCTCAGAGGTCACCAGAATTACACTCAGTGCGGGGGGCTGTGGGATAGTATGTAGTGCTAAGGATCGAATCTAGGACCTCACAACATGGGGTGGAGATGGGAGGGGGCAATGTGATTTATCACTGAGTTACACCTCCAATTTCTCAAATGAATCATTTTAAAACAAAGGATTCAATGGCATTTAGTACACTCCCCTCTAATTCCAAAACAATTTCCTTAAATAAAACAAATAAAATCCTGGGAGCTGGATTGATAGTACACCAAGTAGGGCACTTGCCTTGCATATAACTGATCCGGGTTCAATCCCCAGAGCCACATTTGTGATCCCTGTGCACAGAGCCAGGAGTAAGCCCTGGGCACAGCCATGTGTGGCCCTCCAAAACAACTACAAAAGCCTCTACCACCGCTGCTCCCTCCCAGCCTCTGCCCCTCTCCCTCTCCACAAACGCCCCATAGTTTGTTCTCTGTGGTTTTATGACCTTGAAGGTCTGGTTACACTGCTGTTTGAGGGTTAACCAATCCAGAGACATGAAGATGGATGGATAAAGGGTCTTATTGGCAATGAGCTGCAGGACAGGAGATGGAGGGCTCCTGTCCTCAGAGTCACAACTGTTTTACATAGTCAAAAGAAGAAATTTTGTTGTTGTTATTGGTAGGGGGGTGGTCACACCTAGAAGTTCTCAGGGGCAATTCCTGAGCTAAGCAGTGACCCCATAGCAGTGCTTGGAGGACCATACCTAGTGCCAGGAACTAAACTAGGGTTAGTCATAT